GTACTTTACACTGTAGAGGATGGTTGTTTGTCCTAGTGATAGTGAGGCTGACAAGTAGCTACAGTCCAGTGTCACTGCCCAGCATCTGGAGAGAGTATTGTACTCTGCCTGAAGACTCCTATATAGTCAGGCCTTGGTAGAAAGGGAAGAACAGAGCATCTATTTAAAGAATGTGTAGAAATAGCTAAGGAGAGTATGGGGAGAGAATTCATGGAAGAGAAAATGACATGTGTAAAAGGATAGAGTTAGCAATATATATTTTCCTTTGGAGGAATAAGAGGAGGCCCAATGCTCAGGGGAGCTGAGGCTGAAGGCTGATAGCAGTGAGCCAGGAGCACTCAACTGCTTGAGGCTGGGCTTTGGCTTGTTTGCCAATGTATGCTGAAAGTTCCCATTAATACATGTTAATCCAAGCCACCTGGAAAAAGGGGGCCCACACTGCTAAGGGTTAATGGTGACAAAATAAGATTTGGCAACATATGATGATAAACAACTCTCCTACTGTTGGAAAGGTCATCCAAGAAGCCCAGGTGTCTTCTATAGCACGTGTGCCAAAAGGTCATCCTTACCTGCCTCTTGTCGTTTCATTGTTGTCATGCTAAACATCCTCACTTCTGTTCTTCATACAACAGGGTGTCGAGGCCATTCCTCACTCTGCTCTTCTCCAAATGTAATATAGTTTCAACATTTTAGCTCTTGCAGAGTGAAGCCAAATCCTCTCSGTGAGATCTGCTACTAGCAGGAGAGCTATCCTATCTTCTCCAGTCCATATTTCAATATATTTACAAAATCAGAGATCATAACTCTTTCTTTCTTGCAAAAATTCATAATACACAGTTGATTCATACCCAACTCTCTATCTAGGATTTATATATGTATATACAGTATGCTATATAATATAAATATATAATATAGTATATTATACAGTAACTATACTATATATAGAGAGAGAGTTGGGCATAAATCAATTGTGTATTATGAATATACAGATACAGATATACATATATGTATACACAAATATATATTATACTCACATGTGTACTCAATCCTATACTATGCCTGACTGATAATTAAGAAGAGTTTGTTATAAAGGAAGTAAAGGGACTAAGGAAGTACTGGAATAAAGCAATCTTTTAATTGGGGGCTTCGAATCAGACAGAGAGAAAAAGTATGAAGGACATTGTTCTTTCCCTGCCCTTTCTTCTCATATTAAAAGGAAGATTCTAGCCGGGTATGGTGGTGCATGCCTATAATCCTAGTGACTCAGAAAGCTGAGGCAGGAGGATTACAAGTTCTAGGCCAGCCTCAGCAACTTTGCAAGTCCCTAAGCAACTTGGTGTGACCTTGTCTCAAAATAATAATAATAATAATAAATCACTAGAGATGTAGCTTAGTGTTAAAGTGCCTCTGGGTTCAATTCCCAGTACAAAAAAAAGGACATTCTAAAAACCTAAAAATAAGAAAATGAACTTCCCAATATCTAAGTGGAGAAGATCTAACATGGCAGGACATGTGATACCCACCAGTCCTCTTACAAGGTATCTGCTCACAGCGCCTTTTCTCTTTCCCATCTCAGGAACTCAGACATGACCAGGAAGATCTTCACAAATACCAGGGAGCGGTGGAGGCAGCAAAATGTCAACAGTGCCTTTGCTAAGCTGAGGAAGCTCATTCCCACTCACCCTCCAGACAAAAAGCTGAGCAAAAATGAAACACTTCGCCTGGCAATGAGGTATATCAACTTCTTGGTCAAGGTCTTGGGGGAGCAAAGCCTACAGCAAGCAGGAGTGGCTGCTCAGGGAAACATTCTGGGGCTCTTCCCCCAAGGACCCCACCTGCCYGGCCTGGAGAACAGGAGTCTCCTTGATGATTACTGTGTTTCTTCACCTGGCCCAGACCACCACCTTCCATAGTATGGCTTCAGCTGTCATCACCCAGGCAGCACTTGTCAGAAGTCACTGCTGTGAACAGCCTTATGCATGTTCCAGAGTCCACTGGATGAATGACTTGTGAGGCATGAATTGAGCCTCATGGGAGGTGGCTGACAGAGCTGCAGGGAGCTGAAAGGAGGCCACAAGGAATGTATCCCTGGAGCCCATGGCCCCCAAGACTTCAGGCCAAACCCTGCCTTCTGTCTGTTTTACAAATTCAGGTTCTGTATAAGATGTTTGAAAAAAAATCATGAATTTAAAAATCCCTGTTTTACTCAATGTATTCAGTAATAAGAAAGAAGTTTTCTCATCATGGATCTCAGATGAATGAGCAGAATATGTTTCCCTCACAACATATTTAAAAACTTGTTTTTGAAGAATGAGACATATGTGGTCAAGGACAAACAAAATAAATTTTAAGATTGGTGTATGAAAAGAAAGTCCCTGAAGAACCAACTTGGGAGACATGGAAAAAAACTCCCCGAGGAGTGAAGATTGCATAGATGTGGAAGAGTGTTGTATCCTTTAAATGCTATAGAAATGTGAGTTTTACTTATATTGAGCCATTTATACATATGATATCTCTAAAGTTAAGCAGTGGGTTTATCTATGAAAGCAGGAGGACCTGATAATTTATGAGTTGAGTTCATAGTTTTCTTATTTAAAAAAAAAAAAGTTGGCTAAAATAAATTAGCAAACCCTTTATTTCACAAGTCAGGTATTAAAACTTTTAATTCAGCCTGAGTTCCTGCTGACTTAAGAATCATGAAATTCTATTGTAATTATGAAAATCCAAACATTACCATTTAATGACTCATTTAACAGAGTTTAGTTTAAACAAAACATTTAGAGTAAACAATAGAAATGTAATGCCAGACTCTGGTGAACAAATGAATTTGTACTTTGCCTTCTTTGCTTTGGAACATTAGCTTAGTCTTATTCTGGGGGGTGGGTGTGGTACCCAAGTCAATGAAATAGTGTGGATTTTATAGAACTCATCACTGAGTGTCATCCTGAACCTGATGACACTTGGATTCAAAGATTAAATCCTGTAGTTGAGGCCAGAAATGTAAACAGTGTCATTGGATTATCTCTGGAACTTTTTATTTCCCCAAAATTCTAGTCCATGGWTTGGTTTTAAAGTCTTTTGAACCAGGGGTAAGAAATCTATGGATTTGAGGTTAGGAATTTCCAGTGTATACACAATAAAGGAATTTGAACTTTCTGCCACTCTAGAAAGAATTTTGTAAATGAAAGGTTGAAATAGGCCTTCTTGGTTTGACAATAAAAAGAAATCTGGGTGAGTCTCTCAGTGATCTCATTTTCCCAAAGTAGCAAGGTCAACATGTTATTAGCTCTATATAGACTTAGTACTTACAGCCCCGTGGGTCTATTTGAACCAGTAAGGTTTCCTTCTAGATTCTTTATTTAACCTGCATTTGGTAAACCTCCGCACATTTCCAGTATAGTTCAGGGAAACACACAAGCAGGAACAGGGGACTTTCCCCCAAATGTGCATTTCTTTCTCACCAGCTTGGGTGAACTCCAGCTTGTCCTCCAGTTATCAGGCRATTTCAAAGTTTTGAGGACAGTTATTAATTGAGTAGCATTACCTAATCTCTCAACAACACTTTCAACTATATTTTTTATATTAGTTTCATTTTAGCACATTGATAAGGAAAACACAGAGCACTTCTGTGCCTGAATATAGGATTTTGTTCCTCTACCCAGAATGAGTTCACTTTCCCACTGCTGAGCTGTAGGCTATGTGGACAAAGAGGGTCTTTCCACTGAAATGTAACAGATTCTGCAAAGACATTAGGAGGTTGAGTTATTACATGAGGGGGGTTGTTAAGGATTTTCTGCAGCAAATCCTTTGATAAATGAATACACCTTTACAATATTACTCTGTGTAATCCATTTCTTAAAATATTCATTTTCTCAGCTTGGMTTTTTGTATATCAATTTGTATTATATTAAAGTAACTGTCAAAAAAAATTATAGCTGGGCATGGTGGTGCATGCCTGTAATCCCAGCAGCTCAGGAGGCTGAGGCAGAAGGATTGTGAGTTCAAAGCCAGACTCAACAAAAGCGAGGTGCTAAACAACTCAGTGAGACCCTATCTCTAAATAAAATACAAAATAGGGCTAGGGATGTGGCTGAGTGGCTGAGTGCCCCTGAGTTCCATCCCTGGTACCGCCCCCCCAAAAAAAGAATTATAATTACATGTGGGCCAAAACCTTGATAAGGTATCCATGAGAACGAAACCTAATTAAAAAATCATTCTAGTGCTTTCTTTGGTGTCTATACTTAAGGGTTGATAATTGCAGTAATAAGAAATTATGGTTCAAACACATGGTAGGTCCCTGGATGATACACCCTTTTATGAGTCATTTGAGCACAAAAAAACAGTTTAGACAAATTGTCTAACCTGTGCATCTCTATTATTCGAATGAAAGTAAATGTTTGGTATGCTATGGATAACACTGGAAACTTCAGAAACAGGCCCAGTGGTCTATATAAATAGACCATGTGCTTGATTAATTCTACTCCTTCATTTTACAGGGGAGAAAACAGGTCCAAAGGTTTTTGAAATGACTTTTCAAAGGTCACATGGACTGTTACTGGAAACCCAGGGCAAAGAGCCAGGTCTCGTGGCCCTGCATCCAGCTTTTCCACAGCCCTGTCCAGCTACCAAATATATAGAGTTTCAAAATCAACAAGCACCTTATCATTATACTCGTCTTTTTTCAAAAGCATTCAGAAATCTTCTTCATATGACTTTCTATTGAATTGGCATTATTGTGCTTTTTGATATGTGAGTAGATGTATCAACCAAAGATTTCTATTTGTTGATGCATTTTGTGAGTTCTTAACCATTGATTATAATTTTGCTATTTAATTGTTAATTTATTGCAAATAAATTATTTAAGAAAAGAAATTGTTCTTTCCTTTTTAATAAGCATATCCATCCTCTCTCTCCATCTTTATAGTCACTGGCCTGGATTTGACAACAGCAGTCCCATTCTCTTTAGTCTAGGAAAAAAAATCCAGCATCAGCTGGCATCCCTTCCTTTCTCTCACCCCTGCCCACATCACTCACCTATCACAAGGCTTCCTAACTTCTCAAATCACAACCATGCTCAGCTCATTTCCTGGCTACCAAACCTTCAGACTGAGGCAAACGCCACACCCCTGCAAACCAGACCTGAGCAGCCACAGTATACCTTCCCCTGTCCTTTCACAATCCCTACGTGTGTTGCGTGTGCCCACTTGATGATACACAACATGCCCCCATTTTCAACTTTTGACTTTACTCTTATGATTCCAAATGCTTGGATAAATGTTTCCATCCTCACTCCTACTCACCCCCCTACTTGTACCAATTCTCTTAAATACTGTATCTTATGTGAAGTCCTCCCTAGATGTCTACTATGCAAGCTCTTCTCTCTTTTCTTAGAATGCTCTTATCTGACATTGAGAAACTGATGTGACTCCATTTTTGAGAAACCAGCTTCTACTTCAAGGCCTGTCCAGAGGGAGGGGGTGTGACCCTTGTCCTTGGAAAAACCCACAGAGGGCTCCTAGGCACATACCCATCCTGCTTAGTTGTTTGTCTGTAAATAACCGGAGAGATCTGTGACACCAGGTGTTCCTGACTCAGTTACACTAGATGAGTAACCACCAATCAGCGTGAGACAGGGAAAATACCTGAAATGCCAGGTGAACCTCCCACTAGTTTCTGTGATTGATAACATGTTAGGAAACCTGTAGTTTAGCACGTACACCCCTCATGGCTTAAGCCAATCAGTTCAAATGTATCCACCTCTTAAACTCACCAACCACCCTTACCCAACTTGTTCCCGCCAGTGAATGTGCTAACCAATGTTAAGAGTTGTTGTTTGATTTTCCCGCGGTGTGAAATKATTTACTGTGTGATGTTGTGATGCATGGAGTATCCCCCCAAAAACCTCACTGGACTAAGGGCCCAGGCTTACTCCTCAGGACTCCTGCATGGGAAACGGTTGTGAGTCCAGGCTCAAGCTTACAATAAAGACTTTTGTGTGATTGCATCGGATTCAGCTCCTGGAGGTCTATTGGGTTCCCATGAATCTGGCATTACAACTCCTTACCCTTATTTTCTCTGCCTTGTGTTATAGACATCTCTGTATATTTTTTTTCCTCCTAAAAAGCTAAAATCTACTTGAGGACAGACAGTTTCTAACACTTAATCCTTGCCATAGCCCTGCAAATGGTCCCCACTTTCAAAATATGAAAACTATACCAAGGCTGGTTCTATTTTTGGCCTCMTTAAAAAAAAATGGCATTAAAATGAAGCTTGAACTGGATGAATTTTCCTGAGAAACCCAAAGTCTATAATGTTCTTAAAAGTTTGTTTTCATAATTTTCATTCAAGAAATCTCTAGCACCTGCCTTATGAAATTTCATCACCTAAGAATGGCTTGAGATGGCCAAAACCAGTATAAATTATGCRCAACTGGCATTGTTCTTAAAAAGGCAGAAGATGAAAGGGATTTGGAGAATGGACAGCTTAACTGCTGACCCCTAGGCCAAAGGTCAGTGAAAAGTCACATCCTTAGATAAAGAGGTCAAAGATATGGGGGGAATCTGAAAGTCCAATGGCAATGCAAAGTGAGGGATTTAAAGCAGGTGTCAGGAAAGGAATGCCAAGGAATGGTGTCATTTAAAGGATTACAGGAGGCCAGAGGGGGTGAGGCAAGGTCTCCTGAGCCACATACCCACCTCTGAGCCTGTTGGACTGAAATAGGAACAGGGAAACTTGCCATTTATGGTCTCTTTATTACTAATGGTGTATCGCCAAGAAAATTTTGAAGCACTCTAAATTTTTATACAAGCCTTAGTTAGGTCTGTAATCTACCAGTAATGTTTATGCTAAGAATTTAATTTCCAGAGCTAAGAATTCCCTGGTAAACTAATGAAGAAAGCTGTTAAATTGTCTTTACCGAAGAAATTTAAAAATGGGTGCATGTAGTCAACAAGCTCACATTCTTGGACCTATGTAATTGTCTTTCTAGGAACCTAACATAAAGGAAGAATCATAATTATAGTCAAAGAATTATGTATATGAGCCAGGTGCCATGGTATGCACCCATAGTCCCATCTACTCTGGAGGCTGAGGCAGGAGGACCATTTCAACCCACAAGTTCAAGACAAGCCTGAGCAATATAGTGAGGCCCTGCCTTTTTTTTKCGGGGGAGGGACAACCTTTAAAAATTATGTGCCTAAGTTTCTATTTCAGAGATATTTCCAACATTTATAAAATTATAATAGTAAGAGTAAGATTAATAGTAAGTGCTTACTATCTACCAGGTACTAAACCAAGAATGCCCAGTGGATCAGCTTATTTAACCTTCATAACAATATTATATTTTACATGTAATGTTAATTAATATTATATTGACATTATTATTCCCATTTCATAGATGAGTATGGAAGGGTAGCTAACTTGGCCAAGTTTGTACTGCAGAACCAGCATTTGATTCTGTTGTTTTCGACTCAATATTACTGCCTTGTATAAAGCCAGCCTGGCTTTTCACATCTTTATTTACATCAGAGTAATTAATTCCTTTTGACTTCAATCATTTTAATGGAAACTCATGGACCAGATACACTACCCAAATACTGCAATTGGGTAAAGATACAACATACTGCCTGGGGAAAAGAGACTGTGTTCAGAACCACCAGGCTGGGGTTAACATCGCAATGAGACTCCATAGTCATACTGAATGTGATGGCTGCCAGTGCAGCTGGCTAGTTCCATGGGATGGACTTGGTGAATTGTCATCATGAAATAGTTTTGCGTTTTGTTTTGCTTTTCCAGTGATTGCCATCTACCATGCTCTACCTAGTCTTCTCTTCCTGTCCCTTTATGGTATATAGGCCAATTCAGGCCAGTTCAAAATGTCCATCTCATTCCATTCCCTTCTGCAGTCCAACCCTAGCTCCTCCACAATTCCTGGTTTTAGCTCCTCTGGAGTTGAGGAGGAAGGAGGGCTTAAGGAAATGCACCAACTGGTTTTTTATTCACTTGGTATGGATTGCATTCTTCTCTTTGCAATACTCAGTGTAGACATTTTGTTTCAATACTTGTTAATCATTTACAAGTCTCAGGTGTAAAAAGATTGGGAAACAGCATAGAATTAAGCCTCTTGGATTCAGCAAGACTACATTGCTCAGTTTTTTGGCCATGGAGATCCTCTTGTACTTGGAGGTAAGTGGAGTGCTGTGCTGACACAGTTCGCACCTGCTTTAGAAGCCAGAGAGCCTCAGTGCATTTTTTTATGTCTTTCATTAATATGTAAAGATTTAATTTTACCTTATGATGTGCGGTGCACATTTGAATATGTGTGCCACAGGTTCTCTTTCCACCTATATGTGGTACACTTGTGAGGGTACCATTACACCAGAAATTGTGCCTCTGAAGGGGATGTATAGATAGGCCACCACTTGGACTCCAGGTAGGCACTGCACAAAGAATCAGTTCTGAAGGAAATGTCAAACTTGAGACAATGGTGCTTGAACAATTCCTGGGAGGAGCTAGATAGAACCTTACAAGAGATTATTGAGTCTGTAAGGGTAGTGTCATGAAATCTGCCAGCATTCTGCTTCCTCCTTCCAGTTAGAGTTTGGAAAAGAGAAACAGGTGGCCTCCGACCCTGTTTTCTGATTTCCTCTAACATTCTGGTCAAGGCAGTGGAGATCATAGAAGATCTACCACCAGCTCCAAGTCCCACATGGAGGAGGAACCTGGAGTGAGCCTTAATCCAGGGGACTTGGGAGTGCCTCCCATCTCATTGTAATGGCGTGGTAATGCTCCAATGGGACAGGCCCCAGACATGCTCCCTCTTTGGCTTCTATTAGACTAAAGCTTTTAAGCAGTATGAGTAAAGCCAAAAGTGCTCTGTCTGTTCCTGGATGAGCAGATTTTGAAAGACAAAGGGGAGCAGGCAGCTAAGGACAGAATAAAGAGTATTTGCCAAATTGGGACTGGCATCTTCTAAAAACCAGTTTTACTTTGGAG